CTTGCAAGGAGAGGATGTTGTGTTTTAGACTCTGGAGGCTTTCTGTTGCTGTATTGTTCATACACAGGTTGCCTACCTGCTCAAAGCCACTCAGAGAGTTGTCATGTTGAGCATTCATTATCTACACTGCAGTCCTGGTTTAAAAGCTGATCAATTACTTGTCTCTAGGCAAAACTGCCTTATGCATAGAGACATACAAGTCTAGCAATCTTCCTCCACTGCTTGAACAAAGCAATTGTGTGAATATAAATCAGAGTGTTCCAGCAACGTTTTTCAAACAACATCTCCTTCCACAGTTTCCTTGGTTTAAAGCCCCATGTTTTTTCCCATTTTGGCTTTGGAAATCAGAAGGTGAGTTACTTACCAGTGAATCCATAATCTCTCATCTGTTCATGTTCCTTCAGCATTTATGTGGCGAGTCCAGTTAATTTTCTGGTCAGTGGTGACTTCAGGATGTTTATGGGTTGGGGCTGCTGTAATGTTATTCAGTCTGAATGTCAACAATAACATCTTTTGCCTGGTGCTTACTTGGAAAGAGTGCTTCTTTCCACTTAATGTGCCCAAGCCTGAAATTTGTCCAAGTGTTGCTGCAATTAATTAAAACAAAGCCTTTTTTTTTCTCATCTCTGATATGATAAATAAATCCCTGCTGAAAATGGAGTGTACTGCATTATCCCAACCCTAAGGTGAGGTTACAGCTTTGCTCACAGATATTTACGATTTTGAACAATCTTTATTAGCTGAGGAGTTATGAATGGAACTGAGCACTGTACAGTCATCAACAGATATCCCCATTTCTTACCTTATGGTGGAGGAAAACCGCTCATGAAGAAGCTAGGGATGGTTCTACCTGGGACTGGCACTGGGCTAAGATGATTGACCTCCAACAATGTTACTTTGAACAAAGTTTGCTTCCAGTCAATGGACTCCAACTTCTGCCTCATAATAATTTCAGTTTTGCTAGTTTTATCTGAAACTGTCTCAAATGCTGTCATGATGTCATTGGCCATCACTCTTACTTATGGAATTCTGCTCTATCTTCCATACTTAAATCAAAACTGTAGTGAGGCCAGGAGCCTAGCAGTCCGGGCAGAACTCAAACTAACAGAAATGATAATTTATTGCAAAGTAACTGCTACTTGATAACATTGTTCACAGTGCCTGTCATCACCTGATTACTGATTGGGGATGGACGAAGGAAAAAGTAATTAGCTGGATTGGATTTGTCTGTGTTTTTTGTAGACAACCTGTTCCTGTACAGTTTTTCACGTTGTCAGGTAGGAGCCATACTGGATTAGCTTGGGTAGAGGTTTGACCAGTTTTGGAATAAACGTTTTCAGTACTACAATCCAATTGTTATTGGTGCCTATAGACCTTGTCTTTGATTGCACGCAGCTATTTCTTGATATCAAGTGGAATTAATCAATTTTGCTGAAGGCTAGCTCCTATAATTCTCAGACCTCGGGAGGAGGCCAAAATAGATCGTTCTGATTGATGATGGTTGCCAGCCTTGTTTCTTAAAGTCAAGTGTTGGCTGTAAGGATGGGGATGTTTGTGGAACCTCCTCCTCCTTAGTTGTTTAATTGTTCACCACCATTCATGACTGGGTGTGGAAGGACTGCAGAACTTTGATCTAAATCATTGATTGGAGAATTGCTTAGCTTGTATATCACTTGTTACTTCTGCTTTTTAGTGTGCACATAGTCCTATGTTGCATCTTCATCAGGTTGACACGTCATTCTGATTGGGATTGATTCTGGTGCGCTATCCTACACTTTTTTCAAAATCAATATTAATCTTCTAGTTTGGTAATGGTAGAGTAAGCAATATGCTGGGCCTTCAGGTTACAGATTGAGTACAGTTTGTTTGCTGTTGATGGCTAACAATCCTTCATGGAAGCTCAGTATTGAGCTGCAAAATCGGCTCTGAATCTATCCTATTTAGGACAGTGAGCAGTGCCACACAATATGATGGAGTATGTCTTCAGAATGAAGACAGGAGCTTGTCTCCAGAAGGATTTTGGCTGGTCACACTGACCAATTCTGTAATGGATAGCTATGTACTTCAGGACTTATCTATTTTAGTCAGTGAAATTATCACTGAGCTACCCTTGGTGATGGACATTTAAGTCTCATATCCATAGTCCATTCTATACCCTTTGTACACTCAGTGATTCTTCGAATAGGTTCAATATGGAGGAGGGCAGGAGGTGGTAGGCAGCAGGAGGTTTCCTTTCCTATGTTTGACCTGATGCCATGAAACTTTATAGACTCCAGAATCGATGTTAACAGTTCCCAGGAGCCTTTGCTCTCATCTTTGCAACTGTATCCTTTGGTAAGTCAGTCCTAAATTGGGACAGGATGAAGAGGACTGGGATAATTGTTGTAAAATTTGATTTTTGTGGCTGTAATTAAGCCTAGCCATTTCTTAATGGGTCATGTATCATCTCTCCAGATTTTGTCACGAGAGTCTAGCAAAGGAGGACTTATAAGGAAAGGAAAAATAGAATATGAATGCAATCTCACAGAAAACGTTAAAAGTGGAGTATAAAAGCTTCTACAGGTACATAAAAAGGAAACATTTGTCTAAGATGGAAATTGGTCCATTAGAAGCAAAATCAGGAGAATTTATAATGAATTTAGGGTTAGTGTTGGGGTTAGAAAGGGCAGAAAACCTAAATGATTATTTTAGGTTTGTTTTCACTGATGAAGATACAAAAATCTCCCAGAACTAGGGATCTCAGTGAGCAAGGGGAATAGAAGTTGAAAGAATTAGTAAGAAGGTTGTACTGGAGCAATTAATGTGGCTGACAGTTAATGATTTGCTGGGACCTGATGGTCTACAACCCACAGTGTTGAAAGAGGTGGCTGTAGAGGTAGTCGATGCATTGGTGATCATATTCCAAACTTCTGTACATTCTGGAATGATTCCTGCAGATTGGAAGCTCAGAAATGTCGTCCCACCATTTAAGAAAGGAGCAAGAGTGAAAATAGGGAATTACAGACCTGTCAGCCTTACATCAGCAGTAGAGAAAATGCTGGGATCTGTCATTAAGGATGTGATAAATGGACGCTTGGATACAGATGAACTGATCAACATAGTCTGCATGGACTTGTGAATTGAAAATTATGCTTGACAAACTTGTTGAAATTTTTTGAGGGATGTTACTACTTGCTGAAGGCCAGTCAATGGATATAGTACTTCTGAATTTTCAGAAGGCTTTTGATAACTTTCCCCACAGAAGATGGGTTAGCAAAATTAAAGCTCATGGTGCAGGAAGTAATGTACTGGCGTTAAGGATTGACTTTCAGACAGAAAACAGACTAGGAATAAAAGGGTAATTTTCATTTTGGTAGGCCAGTGCTAGAGGCATTCTGCATTGGGCCCCAACTGTTCACGACATATATCAGTGACTTGGATATGGGGAACAAAGGAAATACAGTATTTCTAAATTTGCAGATGATACAAAGATAAGCTGGACGTTGTGTTGTGAGGAAGATGTAAAACATTTTCGAGAGAGTTTTGAAAAGCTTCAAGACTGGGCGAGTACATAGTAGATGGAGTGCAATGTGGAAAAATGTAAGGCTGACTACTTTGGTAGAAAGAATAAGTGTACACATTATTTCTTAAATAGTGAGAGGATGTAAATGTACGAGAGAATGTTCTGGTCAGTAAGTCACTGAGGCCTAGCAGGTAGGTGTGGCAAGCTATTAGGACGGCTAATGGAATGCCAGTCGTTATTGCAAAAGAAATTGAGTCCAGGAGTAGGGATGTCTTGTTTCAACTGCATCGGAACTGGTTGACCACACCTAGAGTACTTTGTGCAATATGGTCTCCTTACCTCAGGGATAATGTTATTGTTATAAAGGAAGTGGAACAAAGATTGACTGGAAGTTCCTGCAAGGTGACTCTGTCATATGGAGAGACATTAGGCAAACTGGATCTGTACTCTCTAGAATTTTGAAAACTGACAGGTGATCCCATTGTAGCCGAGGAATTGCTAAACTGATAGACAGGGTAGATCCAGATAAGATGTTTCCCCCGGTTGGCGAGCCTAGAACAAGGGGTCATAACTAAAAATTAAGGGGGTGCCATTTAAGGCTGAGATGAGGAGAATTTTTTTTTTACGCAGTAGGTGGTAAACTTATGGAACTCTCTACCTCGAGAGCATTACAAGATGTTCAGTTTTTCAGTAGGGATAGTGTGAGTAAAAAGCATTGAAGTGTTCAATTAGCCATAACCATTTTGAATGGCAGAACAGGCTCGATGAGTCTATTCTTGTTCTTTTGTTCCTATATCGAATGAATGAAATGGTTTATTGTCACGTGTACTTTACAGTGAAATATAGTTAAAAGCTTTGATTTATCACTATAACCTGGTGCCATTTTGACAGTTTAAGAATAAGAGAAAATGAAAAGATATAGCTTAAGTAGAAGTCCATCTACATATGAGTTCTGAGCCAACTCAGAACCACCACCACCATGCCGCTACCAACTAACGTTGAGGTCAATGATCCTCAGGTGCCATCTTTTGCCGTTGGGCCAATTCACCTTTGCCACCACCCGTGCTGGGCACTCTAATGTCAGAGACTATCGTCACGGTCAATATTGTCATAGTGCCCTCCTGTTTGATTTGATTTATTATTGTCACACGTACTGAGATACAGTGAAAAGTATTGTTTTACGTGCTAACCTGACAAATCATACCTTATATTAGGATATCAGGGTATTAGAACAGAATGCAGGATATAGTGTGGCAGCTACAGAGAAGGTGCAGAGAAAGATCAACTGTAATATATGAGAGGTCCGTTCATAAGTTTCAGTAGGGAAGAAGCTGTTCTTAAATCTATTGGTATGAGTTTTCAAACTTTTGTATCTTTTGTGCAATGGAAGAGGGTGCAAGAGAAAATAGGGTGGGAGGGGTCTTTGATGATGTTGGCTGTTTTCCTGAGGCAGAGGAAATTGTAGACAGAGTCATTGGAAGGAAGGCTGGTTTACATGATGGCTTGGGCTCCATTCACTACTCTCCGTAATTTCTTGCGGTCTCGGGCAGAGCAGTTGCCACAACAAGCTGTGATGCAACGGGTAGGTTGTTTTGTATGGTGCATCCATAAAAATCACTAAGTGTCATTGTGGACATGCCGAACTTCCTTAGCCTTCTGAGGAAGTTGAGGCATTGATGTGCTTTCTTGACTGTAGCATCGACATGGATGGATTGGGACAGATTGTTGGTGATATATATTCCTAAGAACTTGAAGGTCTCGAGCACCTCCATCTCAGCACCGTTGTTACAGACAGGGGTGTGTCCTCCACTCCACTTCCTGAAGTCAATGACAAGCTCCTTCATTTTGCTGACATTGAGGGAGAGATTGTTGTCTTTACACGATGCTGCTAAGGTGTTGATCTCTTTCCTGACTCTGTTTCATCGTTATTTGAGATCTAACCCACTGCAGTGGTGTCATCAGCAAATTTGTAAATTGAGTTAGAGCTGAATTTGGTCACATAGTCATGACTGTATAAGTAGTTTAGTAAGGGGCTGAGTATGCAGCCTTGTGGGACACTGGTGTTAAAGATTATTGTGGAGGACGTATTGTCACCTATCTTTACAACTGTGGTCTGTGGGCCAGGAAGCCAAGGATCCAGTTGCAGAGCGGGGAGCAGAGTCCTAGATCTCAGATAGGAGAGGAGTTTTGTTGGAATTATCGTGTTGAAGGCAGAGCTAAAATCAGTAAATCGGAGACCTTTTTTTATTCACTTGGGATGTGGGCATCGCTGGCTGGCCAGCATTTATTGCCCATCCCTAGATGCCCTTTTGAGAGGGTGGCGGTGAGCTGTCATCTTGAACTGGTGCAGTCCACCTGCTGTGGGTTGACCCACAATGCCCTTAGGCAGAGAATCCCAGTATTTTGACCCAGCGACAGTGAAGGAATGGCAATGTGTTTCCAAGTCAGAATAGTTAGTGGCTTGGAGGGGAACTTCCCATGTATTTGCTGCCCTTGTCTTTGTAGATAAAAGTGGTTGAGGGTTTGGAAGGCGCAGTCTAAGGATCTAGCGAAGGTGACTTCCAGTGAGGGAGTAAGGCTAATGGAGACTAGGCGCTATGTTTGATTATGGAGTAGCACTTAACCAGCCGGTCTCCCACCCTCCCTCTTGAGTCTTAGTTATATTTATTTGCATTATTTCTCAGTTGGGGTGAGAAATGTTGCGAGTATACAGTGAGGAGACAGAAGGAGAGACTCCCAGTTACCTACTTCCATTTATTATTGATGGAGTTGAGAGAGAAGCACTAGGCCAGATAGCTTGCACAGAAAACAAAACCCTAACATTTGAAAGTTTTATCATGGGATCACAAGTGAGGTTTAACTTGACTTCCGAATTGTGTGTTTCATGCGAAATTCGAGAGAGCTGGTGTGTCTGCATCTACAGAATAGCCCGAAACACTTGATACCAAAAGTATAATTTGTTAACTAATTGGAGCAATATGAAGCAGACGAGAAGTCTGAGGCAGTCATGCATCAAGATTAAAGGCTGGAAGAAAAATGGAATTTCATCCAGAAGTGTATTGCATAACAGTAGATAGGCATCAGTGGAAAGTTGCACCCCTATCCAGGGAACTCATAACAATTTAAAAAATATAATTTAAAAGAGACACAATATTTCAGAAGAAACATTTGCAAGCAAGGACCCATTTGCTTCTCGTTGTCTCTGAGATGCAGTAATGCAATTGAACACGTTTACGTGACTCCTGCTGTTCTTTGGAAACCAAATGCTTGCTGATTTCATGAAAGGCAGTCCTTACTAACAGGCGCAATATGTATGTAGATTGTGTCAGTGGTTGTGATATACCTCTGTCTTAGAGGGCATCAATGGAAGAGAAAGAGGGCAAAATTGTTTCTATAACTCAAGATTGCAGACAGCCTTGGACTTTATAATTAATTCACACTATTCACTGGAGACTTCAAACGTGTTCAAGCTCGTCATATAGTTAGCTTTTTTTTCCCTCATTCAGCTGCTATTTTATGGAAAAAGGAAGATTTAGTCCCTTTATACCTCAGTCTTTCTTATGCTGCCAAACTGAGAGTCTCCCTGATGTGTAGTTATCAATCATCAGACTAATCATAACCAAAAAGGACAGCTCATGGACTATTTACTCTAGATTTACTGCACAGATACATAAAGGTGAAACCATTTCATTTTTTAAAAGCAAGTTAATACCTTTACAAATTCTTTAACTATAATGAAGAGAAATGTTGCGTATTTCAATTTTCTGCTGATTGTAGTTATTCTGTAAAATGTTATCAGCTTTGCCAGTAGAAAGTTGGTCCAATTATGATTTATGTTGGAAGAAAATTTTCAAAATTTGGAAAGCCAGTGGTAAAATGTTGAAAAATCTGTAAAATCAAGAATTATTTCAGTGCTTATCAAAATAATCCAATATAAGATTCTTCACTGTTGCCCAAAACATCTTTATGAAAAGAAAAGCAGCCTCCTTTAAATAGAATCGTAGAATCCCTACAGTGCAGATAGAGGCCATTTGGCCCATTGAGTCTGCAACAACCCTCTGAAGAGCATCACAACTTGTCCCCATAACTCAGCATTTACCATGGCTAATCCATCCAGCCTGCACATCCTGAGACACTGTGGAGCAATTTAGCATGGCCAATCCACCCAACCTGCTTGTCTTTGGACTGTGGGAGGAAACTGGAGTACCTGGAGGAAGCCCATGCAGACATGGGGAGAATGTGCAAACTCCATGCAGATAGTCACCCAAGGCTGCAATCAGACCCTGGTCCCTGGTGCTGTGAGGCAGCGGTTCTAACCACCATGCCACCCCAACTGAAGCCCAATTTAAACATCAGTTGTAGACCTACACTTATCTGTGCTTTAAAAAAAATCCTAACAATATAGAGCACCTGAGGAGCACAGGCTAACGTGTCAAATAATTGTCCCACTCCTAATTCAGTTTCTTCTGTATTTCAAATGTGACATCCTGTGCTGTGGACAAAGGTGGATGATTTACAGAAGACTGCACCACATAAAAGGTTATGCCAGAAAATGAAATCTCATGGTGTAGAGAGTAACATATTGGTATGGATGTAAGATCAGCTGGCTGACAGGAAATGGGCAGTAGGCATAAATTACTCTTCTTCAGGTTGGCAAGATGTAATGACTGGTGTGCCATAGGGTTCAGTGCTGGGGCCTCAACTCTTTACAGTTTGTATGAATGACTTAAATGAAAGGCGTAAGGAATGGTTGCCACATTTACTGATGACGTAAAGCTTTGGTAGGAAATAAATTGTGAGGAAGACATAGGAGGGTCCAAAGGGATATAGAAAAGTTAAGGGAGTGAGCAAAGATCTGGCAAATTCATTATAAACTGGAAAAATGTGTATTGTATATTTTGGCAGGAAGAATATAAGGAAACATACTATCTAAAATGCTGAAAGGTGTAGAGGGACCACAGTGACCTAATGCATGAATCTGAAGAGATTACTATGCAGATATAGTAAGTAATCAGGAAAGCTGATCGTATGTTATCATTTATTGAGAGGAGTATTGAATATAAAAGTAGGAAGACTGGGGTTCAGTTATACAGGGCGCTGGTGAGATCACGTCCAGATTACTTTGTACCTTATTGGTCTCTTAATTTAAGGACAAATGTGAATGGTTGGAAGTAGTTCAGAGCCTGTTTACTGGATTGTTACCTTGAGTGGAAAGGTTACCTTATGAAGAAAGGGTGGAGAGGCAATGTTTATATCTGCTAGAGTTTAGAAGAGTAAGATAGACTTAATCGAAAAGGTTGATAGGGAGGATGTGGAGAGGGTATTTCATGTCATGGAAGAGGCTAGATTTAGTGGTAACTGTTTAAAAATAAGGGGTTACCCTTTTAAAAGGCAATGGAATCTGAGTCCTTGAATATTTGTAAGGCAGAGTTAGATCCTTGATAAGCAAGACAACAAATGTTTTTGGGAGTAGGCAGGAATGGGGTGTAATCAGAGAAGTAATGATTTTACTGAATGGTGGAACAGACTCAGTGGGCTGGGTGACCGAATCCTGGTGCTAATTTGCACATTAGTGCTCAATAAAATTGTCCAATGGATGACAATTGATTCTGAGACCTGGTTGTAAGCAGGAGTAAACTGAACGTAGATCCCTCTCTTAAGTGTTATCCAGTAGTACCTGCTTATGTGTATCTATGGAGGTCAGGTTCAAATGGGACTGATACAGTGAGGCTCCTGTCGTTGAATACTCTTCTGGTCTTCACCATCATGGCTCACATGTGGATAATAACCACAATGATGAGTCTAGAAGATATGCCCAATTTATTCAGCCGTTTGTCTCTTTCAACCAGAAATTGAGTGTGACTCTGCTGTACTGACTCCAATGCATGCGTATCCTTTCTTAGATTTGGGGACCAAAAGTATTTACAGCATGCTTGGTAGGATCTTTCAAAAGCCCTACACAATTGCATTAAGATTTCTCTATTCTTGTACGCAGTCTCCAATCAATAAAGACCAAAATGTCTTCATGCAGCTGCATGCTAATTTCACCTGTTCCTTGTGCAAGCAGTAAACTTTTTTAAAAGCCAACATTTAAATGTTTCATGTCTCGTAAAAAAAAAAGTTTCTCTATTCTTACCGCCCAATTGAGTAAACACTTTGAAACAGAGACCTTGTGTAATTTAAAAAAAAACAAATATTATTCATCTGCTTATAAAAAAGTTTGGGAGTTAGCAGGAGTGTGATAGGACAAGGTGGCTGTTGATGGAGAGCCAGATGTGCTGATCTGTTTCTGTACTGGAACATGGTGTGAATTGTATACTTTTTAATCCAATATGCTTTCCCGTTGTTTAACAGTATCAGTGGATGTCTTTTTTTTGGCTAAATTATGATGTGATGTGTCTTGTCCAAAATCGGACTTTAAATACAATGCAGGAATTTTTGGGGGCCATTGTTTCAAGTCACCCCTTAGTGATATTTCTGGTGCTCTGCAATGGGCATCCACATCCGGATTGGATGGTTATCACAATGACGGACTGTCACGAAGGATCTCCTGCAAACGTCAGCAGAGCTCATCCACCTGTGGATAGAAAAGTTGGTGGTCAATGACATGGCACATTACTGATAGAAGATAGTTAATGTTTGCTGGTGGAACCTCTCATTTTGGCCTCTTGTGTCCACCCTCCCCCGCTTCACAAAAGTTCTCCCCTGCCCAGTTTCATTTTCAGCATAGCTTTGTGTTCGCTTCCTTGTGAAACTCAAGAACTTGGTGTGTTTTGACAAAGTCACTTGCTTTTTATGTTGATTCATACAACCCTAAAATCATAGAAACATAGAGTAGACAAGAGGCCCCTCAGCCTATTGACTCTGCATCAACAAAAAACACTCTAAATCTACACTGGTCCCACTTTCCAGGAGTTGGCCCATAGTCTTGAATGTTGTGACATTTCCAGCACTCATCCAAGTACTTTTAAAAGTTGTGAGGTTTCCCAGACAGTACATTCCAGATTCCCACTATCCTTTGGGTGAAAATGGTTTTCCTTTAATTTTTTCTTTATCTCCTGCCTTTCACCTTAATATTATGTTCCCTTGTTATTAACCCGTCATATAAGGGAAACAGCTGCTTTCTAACCACCTTGAAAATGCCCCTTATCATCTTGTACATCTCAATCAGGACCCCTCTCAGCCTTCTCTGCTCTAAAGAAAACATCCTGAATTTATGGAGTCCCTCTTCACAGTAAAAATGCTCCATCTCAGGTAACTCACATCTTGGTGAATCTCCTCTGCATCCTTTCCAGTACAGTCATATCCTTCCTATAGTGCGGTGACCAAAACTGCACACAACTGTGGCCTAACTAAAGCTTTGTACAGCTTTAACATGACTGTCCTGCTCTTATAGTCTATGCCACCATTGATAAAGATAAGCATCCTGTATGCTGCCTTAACCACACTATTAAGCTGTTCTGCAGTTTTCAGGAATCTGTGGACAAGCACCCCGAGATCCCTCCATTCGTCTGAGCTTCCTCATGTTCTTCTATTCATTGGGCACTCCCTTGTTTTGTTTCTTCACCTAAAGAGCATAGCCTCACATTTATCAGGGTTAAATTCCATCTGCCACTGATCTACGCATCTGAGCAACGAATTTATATCTTCCTGTAACTTAACACCTGATTCCTCACTGTCAACCACCTGGTTAATCTTTGTGTCCACTGCAAACTGTATTATCATTCCTCCCCCACATTTTCTTCTATGCATATCACAAGCAGTAAGGGACCCAGCACTGCTTCCTGTGGTACGCCACTGACACTGGCCTCCAGTCACGCAAACAATCTTCTACCATTACCTGTCTCCTATCACTGAGCCAATTTTGGATCCAAATTGCCAGATTACCCTGGATTCCACATGCTTTTACCTCATGTGGGACCTTGCCAAGGCCTTTGCCGAAATCCATATAAACTGTATCAACTGCACAATCCTCATGTAGATGTCTCGCCACCTCCTCGAAAAATTCATTTAAATTTGTTATGCATGAGCCCCCTCTGACAAAACCATGCTGACTATTCCTGATCAAACCTTACCTTTCCAAGTGGAGATTTATTATTTCCTTTGAAATTTTCTTATGCAGTTTCCTTATCACTGATTCATAAAATTGGAACATTTTCCTAAGCTTGTGTCTCTACTAGTCATTACCAACCAACGTGATGGATTAAAATGTAACACCGGGGATCAGCCACACACAATGATTCAAATTAAATAATAATGTACAGCTTTTCCTTTTATTTTCCCTAACATGACTCTTGAAGAAACTCCCTATCCTGGAATGTTGTGACTATATAAAGCAGAGTCAAGTTTCAGACATGCTGGCAGTCTAATGTGAGGTGACTTCTTAATTAGGCAAAACATGTTTCACGCCTGTATAACACCCACATGAGGAATTCACCTCATAAATGATAATGACAGTGTGAACCCAATGAAGGATTAAACCTCAGAGGAAGTATTTTGTACAACCCTGCCTCGAAGTTTGTGGCAGTGAAAGAGCAGAACAGAAACAAGCTCAAGAGTAAAAAAAGGTTTCAATCAACACTTTACCCATAAAACCGAATGTTTTGTCACAAATCTTTGAATAGAACATATACAATAGGAGTCTGAGCAGCTCACTTGATAATGTCTTCCTGCCCCAGGTTCACCTCACTGCAGGCCTTATTGATAATGGAAGGAATATTTACACAATTTAAAGAAGATGGTTAATCCATCTGCAAAATCTTTCCAATGCTTTACATTATTCCTTAAGGGGAGAATAATATAAAGGCACATCAAACACCATATTCAGCTGAAATGATTATTTAGTAACTGCACTGCAATTTAACACATTTCCTAGAGTTGATGCCTTCATACAGCATCTTTTGGGTCTCTGTGACATCCTTTAATCCACTGACTGGGTGCCTAAACATAAGAACCTAAGAACTAGGAGCAGGAGTAGGCCATTTGGCCCCTCGAGCCTGCCCTGCCATTTAATAAGATCATGACTGATCTTTTTGAGACACAGCTCCACTTACCCGCCCACTCACCATAACCCTTAATTCCTTTACTGTTCAAAAATTTATCTAGCCTTGCCTTAAAAACATTCAGCGAGGTAGCTTCAACCACTTCACTGGGCAGGTAATTCCACAGCTTCACAACCCTTTGGGTGAAGAAGTTCCTCCTGACCTCAGTCCTACACCTGCTTCCCTTTATTTTGAGGCGATGCCCTCTAGTCCTAGTTTCAGCTGCTAGCGGAAACAACTTCCCTGCCTCCACCTTATCCATTCCCTTCATAATCTTATATGTTTCTATAAGATCTCCCCTCATTCTTCTGAATTCCAATGAGTATAATCCCAGTCTACTCAGCATCTCCTCATAATCCAACCCTGTCAACTCTGGAATCGACCGAGTGAATCTCCTCTGCACCCCCTCCAGTGCGAGTAGATCCCTTCTCAAGTAAGGAGACCAAAATTGCACACAGTACTCCAGGTGTGGCCTCACCAGGACCCTGTACAGCTGCAGCATAGCCTCCCTGTTTTTATCATTCATTCATAAAACATATCATTCTTCTGCCAGTGAAGTGTTTAATGGATTTGAAAAATATACATCTAAAACTCAGCTGCTCATATTCCAAAACTCAGCTGCTCATATCCCAACTTGTAAATGTCACGATCACTGGTCAGTTGAGTCAAATAAAACTACCATAAATGAAACAGCAGCAACAGGTGAAATGATATAGAGCATACTTGGACATTTTAACATTTTTTTGTCCCTCATTGTGAAATAAAGAGAGACAAATAGTGTTAAGCCTGATAACTGAGGAAGGTTAAAATAATGCATCAATTGAACTGCAAAATAACAGACTAACACAATACCATAGCTACACATGCCAAAGATAAGGACTCTGATTACTGGTGCCTGGTCACGAACTGCCTTGATTTTAGGATTTCACTGCAGGTGGTGTGTCACCTCACCTCTTCTTCCTGGCTCCATATCTACATTCTAAGCTCTGAAATTCCCTCCATTCTGTCTCTTCCCATTTCTTCCTGCTTTATAGACGCTTCTCATAACCTACCTCTTCAAGTAAGCTTCGGCCAATGTCATAACATTTTTTTGTCTCAATTTGCATCAATTCTCATCTGATTACAGTCTTGTGATCTTGTACTACTTTACTGGTGTTACAAAAATGCGAGTTCTTGCTGAAGGTATAAATTATTAAGTGGCAAAAGCTTAAGAACAGTGGACAGAGCCTGGGAAATAGTACTGGACACATACCTTACGTGCTGACATGAGAAATGACAGCTCATGCAATACAACAGACAGCTAAATCATAGCTTACTCTACACACCACAGGATGAATAGGACTAATACAGCACGCTTTGTGCCCTGTATAATAGCCTAGGCTATGCTTAAAGGTAGAATAAGGCGAATTGACATAACAAAGGATCTTTTTGTACTGTTAAAAAGCAAAAAAAAAAACCTGGTGTTTGAATCATCCTATTATTTCAGGATGGTGAGTAAGAATATCCTTTTCTTTCCTTCCAGCAGGTTTCCGAAGCTGTCGAGAATCATTCTGATCACTGTGAATCTGAGAAGAAAGACAGTTCGGAGGAAAAAACTCCAGGACCATGCCAAGTTTTTCCCAATGCACAACACGAGTTAAATAAAACTACTGTAGAAGAGGTTCCAGCAACAAGTGAAACAAATTTAGAGAGTACTTGGACTTCATGTCATTTTCTCCCTGAAGTACATATAGAAACAAATAACATTGACCTTGATGACTTAGGAAGTCTAGTTCATGCACCTGTTGAACCACAGCTCAATACCAGTGCCACTGATACGATCCTGCAACTACATGCACCACAGATAAGGACTCATACACCTGGCGTCTGTCAGAATTCTGAACCCCATGGCATATCCTGCAAGGCACAAGTGACAAACGGAGCTTCACCAGGGCTTAAATCAGAGATAAGTGACATTTCAGCGGAGAAACCTGAAGTGAAGTGCAATAGTTGTCTCCACACACCCTCTGAGCAAAGTGCTGTTCCTTTAATAACTAGTCAGTCTGCACTCGATACGGCATCTGAAACTGGTGGCACTCCTTTGGAGACAGACTCAGCAACACGTGAATTGTTTTTTCCGATAAAGTCAAGGGCAAATGAAATTTCTGATGAATTAAGTTCTGAAAAACACAGTAGTTCTTTTGAGACAGAAACAGAAACTCCTGCTGCCACTTTCCTTGAGGTACATGCAACCAGCAGTTGTCCTGATTTGAACTGGGACTCAACTGAGAATTCCCTGCATGTACGAGAACAGATTGAGATTTCCCCTGAAAGGAAAGCTTTGCCAAGTAGGATTCCTTTGGACATTAACACAGAGCCAACTTCCTCAGAAGCAGCAGAGCTGAAAAGAAATTTCCTGGATAAACAATCAGGGGCTGCTGTGATTTGTCCTGGGCTGTATCACACATCGGACGTCATTAAACAAGATACAGTTAAAACCTCTCTGACAGAGTCAGCCTGGACGTCCTTGAGCAGTAATCGAGTTCCAAGTGAAATTCCCTTGGAAATTAATCAAGGTTCCACTGCCATTTCTCCTAGAACAGATAAGATTCTTCCTCCAACAGTAACAGAATCGATCAGGGCTCCCCTGGATGTGAGCCAATACCAAAGTGAAATTCCGGTTGAAGTAGAATCAAATCCAATTGTGCTATGTCCACAGTTTGCTAAATTTTCTCCTAAACACATATCAGAGGCAGATTCGCTTTCTCTGGATGTAAACCATGATCTAAATGAAACCCCAAGCAAAGACAAATCGGATTCTAATGAAAACTTGAATAAGACTAGCAACGTTTCAAATGGAATCATAGCAGCGTCGTCCTGGGTTTCTCTGGATGCAAACCAAAGTCCAAGTGAAGCCTTGTCTGACGCACAGTCAAATTCCTCTGGAATTGATCTTCAGAAATATGAGGTTTCTGCTGGATTAAAATCATTCCAGTCTTCTGCGGGCACAGATCGTGATCAAAGAGAAATCCCCATCGATAGAGAACCAGATCTCATTGGGACCGTACCTGAGATTTGTGGTGGATTTGAATCTAACCCAATCTTGCCTTGTCTGGATACAAGTCAGGATGTAAGTGAAATTCCTCCTGAGCTTGAACCACATGCTGCAAAAAGTTGTGTCCTGACAAGTGAGATTTATGGTGGAATTATCTCCGAGTCAGTCTGGGCTCTGTTGGATACCACCCAAGATCGACGTGAATTTTACTCTGAAGTAAAGCCAGATTTCACTGCAGGAAGCCCTGAAGCAAGTGAATTTTTTACGGGGCTTAAATCAGAGCCAACCTGGGCTTCACTGAACACAGAGCAAGATCCAGGTGAGATCCCATTTGAAACACGACCACTTCCTATCACAGTCAGTGCTGAGCCAAGTGTGGTTTCTGCTGGGATTGTCTCAAATTCAGTCTGGGTTCCTCTGGATCCAGACCAAGATCTGACTGAATCTCCTTTAAAAATAGAATCAGCCCCCACTGCGGAGTGTCCTGAATCAAGTTCTGAAGTCAGTAAAATCTCTGCCCTAATAAATTCAGCGGAAAATCTTTCTTCTCCATTAGAAGGGGGTTCCCCAAACATAGGAACACATTTTGCCCTAAATTGTATAGCAGTCAAACCTGAGGCCATTGGAATTTCTAAAGAGAACCATCAAACAATCAATGAAACAAATCTTGACACAGAACCGAGTGCGAATGAAGGAAACCCTGACCAACATGGATACATTATAGAAAACCAGGTAGAGATAGTTGGGGATTTTCAACACTCAAGTGGATGCACGGACTTCAGTGAAATCTATGAAACGGCCAATGCCATTTACCATGAAATAGATCAAGACCCAAGTGAAATTTCTGCAGTGGTAAAAGAGAGCATAAGTGAGAATATTTGTGAAATAAGTACAAGGGCTGTTCATAAATCACCTGAAATCGAATTAGATCCGAATGAAATTACTCATGAAGCAGTTGAAGAGAGGTCAGAGATTGAGCAACTTTCATATGATTCTGATGTTGTAGAATGCGTACAAAGCAGCAGTGCTAGAGCAGAACCGAGATCAGTTGAAACCGAGTTTAAGAGAACAGTAGGAATCTCTCTTGAGGCAGAACCGGGAATAAATGAAGAAGTATTTGCAAGAACATCAAGAACAAATTGTTATTCCACAAAAAATCATATAGTAGATTACCAAGGCGAAGAATTAAAGATCATCCAGAGTTCTCCAGAAATCCAAACAGAATCACAAGAGGATTTTGTTGAGGATAAGCAAGGGGAGATCATTGGCTCGCTTTTAACAGAAGCAGAAGAACGTAAGAATTTTCTTACCAGAGACTTTGAGTCAAGTGCGAAGGATACTAAAGTACCAGATCTAGATTACAACACTTCACTAACAGCGCCAGAGGCCAACATCCTAGAAATACAACCACATGACACTGATCTTAAAAACAGTAAAACAAACACGTCTTCAGCTAACACAGAGAGTTGTGTTGACACATGCTCAGATACCGAGGACTATATTCCAAAGACAAGAACTGAGGTTTTAGTTGACAGGACAATAGATGTAGGTGAGGTCTATTCAGAAGACATGAGTGCCAAAAGCGAAAATTCTATTCAATTCACTGATCAGGAGAGTGATTTTCCATTTGAGCTGTTTAAACATTGCACTGGAGCTAGCTTAGAAGCAGATCTATTGTATCCTTCATTCAAAGATATTACAGAACAAAACTTAAACATACAAAATACTTCTAAAGAAGTAAGAAAAATTGAGATTTCTTTTCAAACTAAAGTAGAACCAAGGGAGGCATGCTTTGTTTCAAAATCTGAGCAGGGGGGAGTTTCCACCAAAAGATTACTAGCATCACATGATATTATTTCTCAACAATTGGGCAGCATAATAGAAGTAGCTAAAAAAGAGACTACAACTCACATTGAATTAGTGCCAACATTCCCCCTTGATCAGGCAACATCAAGGGACAATAATACAGCTCCTAAAACTGGTACAGGAAATAATCACGTCTACATTGTTGATGTTGGATTGAAGACCAGGGACCTACCTTTAGAGGCAAAGTCAGGAGATACTGGAATTTTGAACAGAAATCTACACAAGAGGTGTATGGCTTTTCCAACAGAGGCAGGTACTGTGCAAGGTGAAAGTAATGAAAGGATGGATTATGACAACATGCTAGATGAAGAATTGTACAGAAATGAGAATGGAAGCCAAGAGACAATAAAATTGGATGCTGAATCCAGTGATATTCCACACATTTATGAAACTGATGGTAACAGTACAACTAGCGATGAAACTGATGAGAACATTTACCCATTTGGAAGTAACAGCAGTCTTCACAAAGCCCTACAGAAACAGACCAACAATAAAGGAGATGACCGGTTTGGGTCTTTATCTTCATTAAACTCTTTCAGCTCACCTTTCAAAAACTCCAAATTTTCAGTTTTCACCAAAATGGCATCATTCAGGAAAAGCAAAGCCTCAAGTCAAGAGCGTCAGATCGAAAGCAACAGCAAGGATGGAAATCGAAGTCAATATGCCAAAAATGCAAATGAAAGTAAAACACAAACAAAGGGAAACACCATTGGTGCTCCAGTGTATAAAGTACATTACCCTAATTATAAAACTCACCTGCCTCATCATTTCAAAAGTAGTGGCAAGAGTGAATCCCCTAGTTTTGATGGCTCAGATGATGATGATGAGGTTTTTGAAAGCAGTAGCCAGGTGAGTCAAACTATAAAGTCTGCATTTGGCTCAGATAGTCTACAGGAAGTAGAAGATATAGAAGAGATTCAGAGAGTGGCAGAAAATGGCCAACATTTCCATAGCAAGAGCACAGACTCCATGGAAGGTGATGATAGTAATGCTGAGGAGCAAAACAACAAAATACCTCCCATGACAGAAAAGAGGTGCAAAAAGAGCAAAAGTTCTGATAGCCTTAACCTTAGGATGAAAAGAGCCTTTGCCAATAAATCGCTTTCTGTATTTTTTGAAACTAAATCTGGTGACAAAGAAAATGCTAACCAAAATTCTAAATCGAGTAAGAAAAATGATGGTGATGAAGGGAAGTCAAAACACTTATCCTGGAGAAAATTTATGAAACTGAGTGAATCGGAATCCACGAAGATATCAATGAACCCTTCACATTCACCCAGTGAAAATCAAGCCATAAGGCCACAGTCACAGGTACATAGTGAATATGCAAGGAGGATCTCCATGGAACAAGTAGAAAATACTTCTTTTTCAGGAGCTTCATCTCCCTCGTCTCCTAGTACACCAGGTAAAGCTCAGCTTTCCGATAGCTGTTTTGAACAGGATGATGCTCCAAAGCTAGTGGGTCAAAGGCTTAGAAGGACATCACCGAATGAATTAAGACTTAAATTGACATTTGACAATTGCCTAGAAAGTGATGATGTTTTCAAAACTTCACCAAATCAATCCACTCCCAATGCCTTACTGAATCAGTTAAGCCCAACGTGGAATAGACCTGGTGTGATTTCAGAATACTTTGATGCCACTTTCCCTGCAAGACCAATGAGTCCAAAACCACAAAGTCCCAGGTCAAGTTTTCGGAGAAGTTTTCGCTCCAGCAACAGAGCAAGTACATCATCCTGGACTTCTCTTGATTCTAATAAAACAACGGATGGAGTGTTAGAAGGACCCGAAAGGCCAACAGCATTGAAACCAAGAGGCAATCTTCTTCTTTCTGTACAATCGCTGAATTATGAATGTCAGAAAGAAGACAGTGGAATTAGCAGTCAGTCACAGACAAGTCTAAATACAACTTCTTCAGCCATTGATATTGGCAAAGAGGAGGTGAGTGGTTCGGCAATGATTGCGCATTTCTGCAGATGTAAGGTCAGTTTTCTGATTATAATAATTGCAATTCCTCAATGCAAATTCTTATTAACTGCAAGTTGGTGAATGATTGACAGTACATCATATAAAAAGATTAAAGACTGTGTGAGAGAATTAACATTTGTCATCGGTTCAAAGAAACAATGTGAGTTTATGATGTATGCTTTTGGAAGTAATTGAGAGCTATAACCTTAGGGCTTATCCTTTTAACTTTGTGAATTAACTAGGAGAATTTTGTTTCAGCATTTCAAATAGGCCTGTCACATTTTCAGTCAGAATCTGCCTGACCTCACCATGCATTAATTTTTGAAAACTAGGTCTCAGAGAGAGCGAGGGGACAGATTTTTACCTCCAACTTTACAGTTGGTGGAGAGATGGGAGGGTCAAGGATCAACAGAAACTGTCAGTGGGAAATGGGTATAAGGTACTTGCTTTAGATGTAGTTCTAACTGAAGTTGTCTTCAAGTGACAGTAGAAAGAACAGCAATAACTGACTTGCATAGTTATCTGGTGCTTTGGTCTGTAATATCTTTCACAAACAGGAAAATTAGTTTGTTGAAAACCCTTTGAAAAATCACAATTTCATTGTAGTAACACTGCTTCCTTTTCTTTCATGGGAGTGCCACTTTTCAAAGTTGAAGCACTTGCTAAAAAAGATTTTGAAACAATGAGAATCAGAATGGAAAATATTTCCCGTATAATCATGAATGTTTTGATAGTTTGGGAAAACATGTTATACAACATGCAGATCCTTCACCTCAATGACCAGGCTAGAAGGGTATGGCAGTGAGGATAATGCCAAAGAGGCGTTAAGCAATGACCTATTTCACCAGTTAGCTGTGGCTATCCAATTCTGTTTTGCCAGCTTGAGCAAGTTGAATGATTGCTGCCCACCAATAAATCAATGGAGCAAGAAAGTCTTTCCTCTGGTAGGGTGTGACCTGGGCGAAGTTTATCCCCTCTTTATTTTTCTCTGGTGTTGAACATGTTATGCTAAAATGCACATGGGAATTCTGCTGCTGTAAGTTGCAAGAGCACTTTTACAGAGAAAAGCGAAAGGGTGACCTGGTAGTCAGTGGCTAGCACTGCTGTCTCACAGCACCAGGGACCTGGGTTCAGTTCCAGCCTTTGCTAACTGTCTATGTGGAATTTGCATGTTCTCCCCGTGTCTGTGTGGGTTTTCTCTTCGTGTGCAGGTTAGGTGGATTGGCCATGCTAAATTGCCCATAGTGTCCAGGGATGTGCAGGCTAGGTGGATTAGCCACGGGAAATGCAGGTTATAGGGTTAGGGTAGGGGGATTGGTCTAAATGGGATGTCCTTCGGAGGGTTGCTGTACACTCAATGGGCTGAATGGCCTGCTTCCACACTGTAGGGATTCTAGGATTTATTTGAATGTTGGTGTTAATGTTCATTTATAATCAATAAGAAAAATTATGTGGGGACAAATTGTTTCTTCCAGGGAGCATTTCTATTTGATTAGAATTTGATCACCAGGAATGCTACAATATGGATCAAAATAAGTGGAGTAATTAAACCTCCAGTAATGTTGAAGTAGGTGGATCACAGTCTCCCAAACTGAGTCAACCAATGTGTAATAGCAGGTTAATTGCCCTTTTAAAGATATTGATTGCAAAGCACCAGCAGATACTGCACTAAAATAGGGATGTTATTTTGTTGTGACATGGTGAACCTACCATCTATTGGCCACTGGCAGCTACTGCATGAAGTCCATTCTGAATTTCCATCAGTATCTTGGGCTAAATTGGACCCTGGCTATTTCTGTTTCCAGAAGAGACCTTTGAATTTACATGAACATATCTGTAGGAGAACACTTTACATAACAGATATGTACAGCATAGTCAGTGTGTCTTTAAGCTTGGCAACAACTGATGAGTAGAACCATCCACTTAAAAGAATGAGGATACACCCAGGTCAACATTTAGTATTATCTAATCAACTTGAACACAGTTTTACTTTAAGCAATGCTCCCAGCAGATAATTAGCTGGGAAGATTGACCTGCAAACTCCTTTGAGTTTTTTTTTTTGGAAAGACTGCCTTCTTCCTGTAGGTTAAGATGAATTTTCCAGAATCCTATTGAAGTCATTTCACTCAGTCTTCAGAGGATCCTAAACCAACTTCCAACAGCAAGGCACACTCTTGTGATCCCTTGGTCCTTGAATTTCAGAAAGCTCTCCTCTCTTTGAACAGAGATCCAGTTCTAACCAGCATTCTGCTGGGTGGCTAACTCAAAATAATACTTTCCTCAGCAACCATATGTGTCTGTCTCTCCCTGTTTCAGTGTCCAGAAAACCATTGGCCTTTTTCTGTGTCAAGTGTGAAACCTGCACTTTGATTTTCAAAGGGAGGTGATGATGTAGTGGTATTATCACCAGATTATTAATCCAGAGATTTAGGTACTGACTCGGGGACTCCGGTTTGAATCCTGCCACGGCAGATGGTGGAATTTGAATCCAGTAAAAATCTAATTAAGAATCTAATGATGATCATGAATCCATTGTCAATTGTTGGAAAAACCCTGTCTGGTTCACCAATGTCCTTTAGGGAGGGAATCTGCCATCCTTACCTGGTCTGGCCTACATATGACTCCAGACCCACAGCAATGTGGTTGACTCATAAAAAAGAATTGCCATCTGGCAATTTGGATGGGCAATAAATGCTGGCATAAGCAGTGACACCCACATCCTATGAATGAATTTTAGAAAAACCTTTTCAGTTATCCATCACACGGACCTGTCTCTAGGCAGAGTTTCGGATGATCACCATCAGCCTGTTCTGGACACTCAATTTTACCTTCCATTAAATTAAACATTTTAAAACCTAACTGTCTTGTAAAGTTCAAAATTCGTAACACATCAGTCAGGAATGCCATAACCAGAATATAAGTGGTTGCAACCAAACATTTAAAATATTCAATTTGCAAACTGTAGCTCCACTTGTAAAATGTTTCCTCTTTCCAATACATTATGGGGTAGATTTTCCGCTGGTCAGACAGTTGTTATTCCAGCATAGATGGAAGTCATGCACTGGGACTTTGCGGAATCCCTATTATAACGCAAATCCCCAAAGGAATTGCCTCGGAAATTATATTTTCCTCTGGGCCATTTGTCTACACCTGGAGCCATTTGAAAGTTTCCATACAAATTGGAAGGTTCACATGATTCTGATGCAATTAAGTAAAATGTTTACTAAGCCAAAGTTAGACTATTAAATGCATTGTTTAACTCGCGAGTAACTATTGAACTGACACCATACTTACCCAACTATACCTGCCCCAGACCCTGACCTGACTGCCCCGAACTGACTGAGAAAGCCATAACAAGATAGATGTCAATCCTGTACACTGGAAAACACTTAACCACTTCCATCTTATATGAGATCACCTTATGCAGTAAGTTCTCCCATGTTCCATCAATATGTCATGTGTTTATGTTTTTTTTTATTGTTTGAATCTGAAACATTTCTCTACCTGGCACTGCCACACAGGAAGTAAGTAAGCATCCAACCCAAACAACACAAGAGAGGAACTCGACCGTGCCAACAGTCCTGCGAAATCACCACCAGAATCACCCACGCCAGCGACCTTTCTCAGACTTTGGACAAGTGGCCTGGTTATTTGATCGTGCTGAAGGGAAATGTAAACTAGATAGTGAGGATGAAGTAGAGGAAATATCTATACCGCCTTACAAACGCTGCAACTCAGATGAATTGTTGTTGGAAGAAGCAAGGAAGAGACGGAGAAAGTTGATTGCAGAGCTTGAGAACTTCAGAACCAGACATGGCAGGAGCAATGCTGAAGTTCGCAATGAAGTAAGATAAAGCCACAAGCCCTCTGAAGTTACTGTGAACTGCTGCTCCTTATGGCCCTTCAGCCTTCTTCTTGTAGCTGTGTAACTGTGGAGCCTTCACTTTATAAACTGTCTTCTCAAGCATTAGTGTTCTGTACTACTTTCATTTCATGGATGACTCTGCAGTTCAGATTGGTGGGGTCACCACACTTTTATCGCTTTCTTTCCAAAGTTTCCAGTGGTTTCATTGGATTTCGAAAGTAAGATAGAAGATTGCAGATAGTTAAAGGGGGCACCAGGAAGAGGATTTGCAAATTGTGATTGGCGCTGAGAGGATTCCATTTAAATTAGCCAATGCAGTGTCTCAAAAGAAATGACGGATGTTCTCCTTCTGTTGATTTCCAATGAAACCTGATTTGTGAAGTTCATTGCTGTCTTTATCATTATCATACTGTGAATACTGTGTTGATATCATTTTATCACAGCTTACAAAAAGGATTAATCATCATTGGAGTACAAGTTCCAGGTTGCTACTTGTTGCAAAAATGTAGTTTTTCTTAGTGGTAATTTTCTCCTGTTTGTAATTCTGAATGAATTTGTAAATACTGTATGTTCTCTTAGAATATGTTTAAAACTTAACTTAAAATATCAGACAGGAGAAATGTCCACAAAGGTTCTTACATTTCTCACTACACATAGATAACAAGAGACATCCTGAGCATTTATCTTCATTTTTATATCTTACTTCATCTTTGTTTTACTGGAATGGGTGTTACCTGTAGAAGACAAGGAGTGGATCCCTGCATCATTCCAGTCTGACCTCATCTTCCAACACTGGTGCATCGAGTAAAGTTGATTTGTTCCTCTATCAGTGCAGATAGCAGGTTCACTCCTCATGGTTTCCTTCAACTATCGACAGCCTCTGTATTTACTTTGTAGATTTTGTTGCATCTCTTGCCTTTCACCCTAACTACTTCTCTTTTTGTTTCAGATACATCTCTTCAAAGTGTTTCCAATTACAAAAGATATTTGATGCTAATATAACAGTGCACAATGTAAAGCTTGCAAATTGAATACTATCCATCCGGAAGTGTTTTCTTGTGTTTAATCTTTCAGTGTAGTTAAACAAACATTTCAAAAACTTTCAAACAGTCTTTCATCTAGAATTGTCACATAAGAAACTTCATGTTATTTAAAAAGCAAAATACTATTTAGTACAGGAATATGCTTGCAAAATTTTGATAAATGGGTCTTAAATTTTGTTTTGTTATTCTTCCATGTTTGGATGAGCATACTGTGGGTTTTTCCTCTCTCTATTGAGGAATTAGTCATGACTTAGGTACATATAAGTTGTGCGTAGCAATATTATTGTACTGTCATTTAGATAATACAACTATTCTGAATACTTCATCCTTTCTGTAGGTTGGAAGGAGATTTTCCTTTCTATCTCCTCTCTCTTCTACCTTCAAAGACATTCCTCTGAGATTTCTTACATTCTCCCAGAGCACACCAACAGGACTCGACTGTATTGGGTATAAGCGGTGGATGGCAACTCCTGGTATGTAATTCAAGTTTAGTTTAAATTTAAATTTGAATTTGTTTAAATTTGAATAAGTAAATAATATATCCATTAATTAGGCTGTGGGGGAAAGGTTTCTTAAAACCTTTCAGTACATAGGCTGTGATAAATTTCTTTGAGAATGATTATAATTCTCATCTAACTATTGTCATTTTAAAAAAATTATCTGTTTGGATTGGTGGTGACATATTTGACAGGAACCAGAATGCATGAGTACCTCACTAGAATAAAATAATTAACCACATTTTCCCAACTCTCAACTCTTGATCATGATCTGGCTCCTTTCATCAGCGAATTCAAGTTCACCTCAGTCCCTATGGAACTTGTTTGTAAATTGATAATGTTCTGTGGGAAGTGACAATGATTCACTTAAATGGACTGCATTGGCTATCTTCCTATGTAGAGTCATTATTAATTTTGCTGGCGCATATTTGCGATTGTTTTTCAAACAAAGTTGATGTTTAATTATAAATGTCTTTGTCAGATATCTCACTCTTGGACTTGTAATGATGACTTCACTAGATGTGACAACAGCCTGAGGGTTTTCATATCCACATTGAAACACTCAGCTAGGCTGCTACTGTAGCTACAGTTAGCTTCAGAAATCCGGTGTTAGATGAGAAGCAATAGAATCAGATAGGTTTCTCACTGCCGATCACAATCCAATGACCCAGTGGAAAGAGAGGATCTTTGTAATTCATAACATGTATAAAGTTGCTGTATAAAGCCAAGTTAAGGAACCGTGCAGGAGGATTATCATACAAACTCAAAGATAGTAGTAACATCAGGTTGAAGGCAACAATATTAGGATAGGTAACCAAATGCTTTGTCAAGTTTTAAGAAACATCTTAAATGAGGTGAGAGCTTGAGAGCTGGAACGGTTTATGGAGACATAAAGGAATCAGGTTTTGCCTCACTTTCCAGCAGAGTCATCAAACTGATGTTGTTGCTCAATATTTCAGGCCCACTGCCTATAAAGGGGAATTAAAGTGGACCTGAAATGAGAATAAAGACACATTAGTAACAACAGTGATGGTACCATTAAGTCCTGAAATGAAGATTTATTATTTAGTTACTTGATGACAGAAAAGCATCTTGAGGTTCCAGTGAACAAGCTGTTGAATGTAGTGGTATTATTTTGCAATTGGCAGAAGTTTTGGGAATAATTGCAAGGAAAGGATTGGATGTGCAAGGGATGATACAAGGGAGCACAAGTTCAAACTTTTGTGGCAGATATTATGGTATTCGCTCCAGAAAGAGAGATCAACCAATGAAATAAATTGTCCAGAAGAGCAATGAAAGAAAAAGCTCTGGAATTATTTAATCAACAATGGGATGCTATATGCTATGGTCTGTCTGGATGGATGAATCATGGTGGGCTGAATGGCCTTCAAAATGGGCTTGTTAGGAAAGCGACAGCGCAAGAGGATTTGGGAGTCCCCATGTATCAATTACAAAAATCTAGCATCCAATTTCGGCAGTGAAGGCAAATGGAGTGTTGGCCTTTATTTCAATGGAATGACTAGTTTTGCTAAAGCTGTACAAGGACCACTTCAGTCCATATTTGGATTACTGTGAACAGTTTTGGTATTCTTATCAAAGGAAAGAGATACTGGTATTGAAGGCAGTCGAGTGAAGATTCAGTAGACTGATCCTGAGTTTTTAGGGATTTTCTTATGAGAGGTTGAGCTTGTACTCATTGGAGTTTAGCAAATGAGCAACGGCCTCATTGTAAGATATAAGATTCTCAGGGACTTGACAGGGCAAGATGCAGAGAGGTTGTTTCCCATGGTGGGAGAGCCTCGGATCAGAGGGATTAATCTTCTAAGTAGTCATGCGTTTAAGAGAGACATTAGGAGGAATTTCATCTCTGACGGTAGTCAGTCTGTGGGATTCGTTATTGCAGAAGACTGTTGAGGCTGTGTTGTTAAGTGTATTCAAGGCTGAGATAGGCAGATTGTTAATCAGTAGGAAGATCAAAGGTTCTGGGAATATGGTGGAAAAATGGAGTGAAAGATCTTCAGATTAGTTATGATTTGATGAATGGTGGAACCAATTCAATGGATTGAGTCACCTACTTCTGCTCCTAAAATCTAATGATTTTATGGTGTAATTGGTTAAAAATTTACTTTCTTCTTTTATTTATCTATTAATTGGTTATTTGAAAAGACCATAGCAGAGAAGTATTAGAAAGTATTTAACTCATAAATTGATATAAAGTAATTAACTAAGTAGAGATGGCTGGGCAGGTGATGTGGGAGCTGGCTGATCCCATTGTGAATGGCAGTGACCACATCTGCAGCAAGTGTTGGTTGTTGGAAGAACTCCGGCTCAGAGTTGAAGATCTGAAATCTGAGTTTCAAACACTGCGACACATCCGGGAGGGGGAGAGTTACTTGGACGCTTTGTTTCAGGAGGCAGTCACACCTGGTAGATTAAGTAATTCAAATTCAGTTAGTGATCAGGGACAACAGGGTGTGACTGCAAGTGAGGCACATAGGGGGATCCTGAGTTCAGGAGTGGAGGAGCCTCAGCTTTTGACCTTATCCAACAGGTACGAGATACTTGCTCCCTGTGTGGATGAGGAAAAGGGCTGCGGGGAGGATGAGCCAGCTCACCACGGCAACACGGTGCAGAAGGCCATTCAAGAGGGGGGAGCAAAAAGACAAGTGGTAGTTATAGGGGATTCTATAGTTAGGGGGATAGATAGTATCCTTTGCAAGCTGGATCGGGAGTCCCGCATGGTGTGTTGCCTGCCAGGTGCCAGGGTGCAGGACATCTCTGACTGGCTTGAAAGGATATTGGAGCGGGAGGGGGAGGATCCAGTTGTTGTGGTCCACGTTGGGACTAACAACATAGGTAAGGCTAGGATGGAGGACCTGTTTGGGGATTATCAAGCACTAGGAACGAAATTAAGGAACAGGTCCTCGAGGGTCGTAATCTCCAGATTACTGCCCGAGCCACGTGCAAATTGGCTTAGGGATAAGAAAATTAGGGAAGTAAACATGTGGCTAAGGGAGTGGTGTGGGAAAGAGGGGTTCCATTTCATGGGGCATTGGCATCAGTTTTGGAACCGGAGGGATCTGTACCGATGGGACGGTCTCCACCTGAACTGATCTGGAACCAGTGTTCTAGTGAAAAGGATAAATAGGGCGGTCACTAGGACTTTAAACTAGTGAGTTGGGGGAAGGGAAAGGGAAAACGACAGGGAGTATGATGGTAAATAAAAAGGTAAGCAGCAGGTTAGCATGTGTGCAGGAGGGTTTAAGTTCAAGGCAGACTATGAAAGAAGCAAAAAGGAAGGATAACTCAGGAGATATTATTAGAGATGTTGGAAATCATGAAGGTAAGAAAGCTAGCATAAAGGCACTTTACCTGAATGCTGGTAGCATTCGTAACAAGGTTGATGAGTTAACGGCACAAATCATCGCGAATGAATATGATTTGGTAGCCATTACGGAGACATGGTTACAGGATGGTCACGACTGGGAGTTAAATATCCAAGGGTACCAGACTATTCGGAAGGACAGACAGGAAGATAAGGGAGGTGGTGGAGCTCTGATATTCAAGGATGACATCAGGGCGGTGCTGAGAGATGATATAGGTTCTGTGGAGAATGAGGTTGAATCCATTTGGGTGGAAATTAGAAATTCTAAGAGGAAAAAGTCACTGATAGGCATAGTCTATAGGCCACCAAATAATAACATCACATTGGGGAGGGCAATAAACAAAGAAATAACTAATGCCTGTAAAAATGGTACGGCAATTATCATGGGGGATTTTAATCTACATGTAGATTGGTCGAACCAGCTCGGTCAGGGTAGCATTGAGGAGGAGTTCGTTGAGTGTATCCGTGATAGTTTTCTTGATCAGTATGTAATGGAACCGACGAGGGAGCAAGCTATCCTCGATCTGGTCCTGTGTAATGAGACAGGAATAATTAATGACCTCATAGTTAGGGATCCTCTTGGAAGGAGTGATCACAGTATGGTTGAATTTAGAATACAGATGGAGAGTGTGAAGATAAAATCCAATACCAGGGTCCTGTGCTTGAACAAGGTGAACTACAATAGAATGAGGGAGGACTTGGCTAAAGTAGACTGGAAACAAAGATTTTATGGTGAGACAGTTGACGAGCAGTGGAGGTCTTTCAAAGCAATATTTCAAAGTGCTCAGCAAAAGTATATTCCAGTGAAAAGGAAGGACTGTAAGGAAAGGGGTAATCTGCCATGGGTGTCTAAAGAAATAAGGGAGGCTATCAAATTGAAAGAGAAGGCATACAAAGTGGCCAAAAACGACATGAAACGAGAAGATTGGGAAAACTTTAAAGGTCAACAGACAGCCACAAAAAGAGCTATAAAGAAAAGTAAGATAGAACATGAGAAAAAACTAGCACAGAATATAAAGACAGATAGCAAAAGTTTCTATAAATATATAAAATGAAAAAGAGTGGTTAAAGTAAACGTTGGCCCTTTAGAGGATGAGAAGGGGAATTTAGTTATGGGATATGATGAAATGGCCGAGGCATTGAACACGTATTTTGTATCGGTCTTCACAGTGGAGGACACCATTAACATGCCAGTAATTGACAAAGGGACAAAGGTAGGTGAGGACCTGGAAACAATCACTATTATGGAAGAGGTAGTGTTGGGCAAGCTAATGGAGCTAAGGATTGATAAGTCTGCTGGCCCTGATGGAATGCATCCCAGGGTATTAAAAGAGATGGCGGGAGAAATAGCAGGTGCAATGGCGGTAATTTTCCAAAAATCGCTGGACTCTGGGGCAGTCACAGCAGATTGGAAAACAGCAAATGTGACGCCACTGTTTAAAAAAGGAAGTAGACAAAAGATGGGGAATTATAGACCGGTTAGCTTAACCTCTGTAGTGGGGAAGATGCTTGAGTCTATTATCAAGGAAGAAATAACAAGGCATCTTGATAGAAATTGTCCCGTTGGGCAGACGCAGCATGGGTTCATGAA